TATTTATCTTATGTATTGAGGTACTCTTTATGTTGGGTGCATATATATTTATAATTGCTTTATCTTCTTCTGATTGATCTCTTGATCATTATGTAGTGTTCTCCTTTGTGTTTTGTAATGGCCTTTATTTTAAGCTCTATCTGAGTGTTGCTATTCCTGCTTTTTTTTAAACTCCATTTCATGAAATATCTTTTTCCATCCTCTGACTTTTGCCCTAATGTGTACCTAGGTTTGAAATGGGTCTCTTGTAGACAGCGTATATAGGGGTTTTGTTTTTATATCCATTTGGCCAGTCTTTGTCTTTTGATTGGAGTGTGTTATCCATTTACATTCAAAGTAGTTATTGAGAAATATGTTCCCGTTAGCATTTACTTTACTGTTTGGGGTTCTTTTTTAGAAACCTTAAAAAATTTTATCTAGACAAAATCCTTTAGCATGTGCTGAAGGATTAATTTGGTGGTGTTGAATTCTCTCAGCTTTTGCTTGTCTGTAAAGCTTTTGATTTTCCCTTTGAATCTGAAAGAGATTCTTGCTGGGTAGAGTAATTTTGGTTGTGGTTTTTCCCTTTCATCTCTTTAAGTATATACTGTCATTCCCTATAACCTGCAGAGTTTCTATTGAAAGATCAGATGTTATCCTTATGGGGATCCACTAGTATGTTTTTTGTTGCCTTTCCCTTGCTGCTTTTAATATTTGCTTTTTATGTTTAATTTTTGTCAGTTTGATTAATATATGTCTTGGTATGTTTTGTCTAGGATTTTATCTTGTATGGGACTCTCTGGGCTCTTTGGACTTGGTGGTTTGTTTCCTTCCCAATTTTAGGAAAGGTTTCTATTATCTTTTTGAATACTTTCTCATGCCCTTTCCTTTTGTCTTCTTTTTCTGGGACCCTATGATTCTAATGTTGGAGAGTTTAACATTTTCTCAGAGGTCTCTGAGGTTGTCCTCATTTCTTTCTATTCTTTCTTCTGCTCTGCTTTATTTATTTCCACCATTGTATCTTCTAGCTCACTCATCCTTTCTTTTTCCTCAGTTACTCTACTGTTGATTCCCTCCAGAGTGTTTTAATCAGTTTTTTTATTGTTCATTACTGACTGACTATTCTTTATTTCTTCTAGGTCCTTGTTAAACATTTCTTGCATCTTCTTAATATGAGTCTATAGTCTGTCTGTAACTCCATTTTGTTTTCAAGATTTTGGAGTACCTTTACTATCATTGTTCTGAATTCTTTCTCAAGTAAACTCCTTTTCTCTTTTGTTTGGTTTGGTTCATTTTTATCATGTTCCTTTACCTAGTGGATATTTTTCTGCCTTCTTATTTTGTTTAGTTTGCTGTGTCTGAGGTCTTCTTTATGCAGGCTGGAGGGTTGTATTTCCTCTTATTTGTGGGTGGGGTTGGATCCTCTGTGTGGGGTTGGACCTTTGCTTGTGAAGGTTTCTTGCTTGGGGGAACTTATTTTGCATTCTGGTGAATGGAGCTGGACATTGTAAGAAGTGTCCAGTAGTGAGTTTTGTTGTGTCTGTGGATTTGATATGGTGTGTGAAATATCTTGTATTGCAGCTTCCTCTATTGGAATTTGCATTGGAACTTTCTGGTTCTTTGGTGAAGCTTGGTTTTAGTGTAGGCATGGAGAGTTTTGGGTGGTGAGCTCTTGTCTATTAATGTTCCTTGGGGTTAGAAGTTCTGTAATGGTCTAAAGTTCTGGAGTTGAGCCTCCACCTCTGTGTTTGAGTCACCCTCCTACAGTAGCATTAACGCTTTTCTGTTCTCAGGGCACTAAAGACAAAACCCCAAGGTTAATGTTGAAACAACTCTCCACAGCCAGGAATACCCAGAGACATTCACAGAGTTAGGTAGAGAAGAGGAATGAGGGAGATAGAAGTGACCAGGTCGAGAAAAGGAAGAGTTACTGGGGGAGAGAGCAGTCAAGACAGCAGTTGAATGCCTAAGTGAAAATGGCTACTACAAAATAGACCCTTAAAGGCTCAAAGTTAATAACAAATATAAAAAAACAAAGATTAAAAAATTAGGATAGAAATTAGACTCTCAATATAGTACAATAAAGTACAATATAAAAGCTACAAAACAATCTGTGATTAAAGATAAAAAAAATGTTTGTATGGAGTTTGTTTAAAAATGGGGCTTTTTAAAGAAAGGTTATAGGGTACAAATATGAAAGTTAAAGAAATAATAACATTTTTTTTTTTTTAAATTAAAAATGATAGTAAAATGTATACAGGAATTTCTCTGTAGCTGTTGTGGGCTGTGTGGGGTAGGTTAAGTGTCAAATAATTCCTTATTCTGGCTTGTACTTGTTCTTAAAGTCTGTTTTTGACTGTTAGATGCACAGTCTCAGATTAACTGCTGGGTTTCAGTCTATTGCATCTGCCACTTCTGGGTGGTTCCCCCATCTTTGCTTATTTTGGCCTCCTGTGTTTTTAAGTTTTTTCAGTGTGTAATCTCTGCCCTGACTTGACAGGGCAGAGGTGACCATTTTATTCAGGCTCACTTGCTCAATTGTGTTGCAGAGAGTGACGCACACACTGCAAGCAAACACTGCTGGGATGTGTGAGGTGCGCTCACTGTGAATGGACCACATGGGGGTTGCTGCAGCCCAAACTTGAGTGTGCTTCCCCGGTCCCTACTACTCAGGCTCCCGGGTACTCTGCAAAGCCCTTCCTGGAAAGCCCTTGGTTTTGTGCACTTCCCAGGTCCAAGCCTCTCAGGCATATAGTCCTGGATGTGCCACGAGCACACTGACCCAGATAGGCAGTGTGTCTCATGTGTCTTCCTGATTGCAGCAGCTTGGTTTCCTGGGTGTGCTGCAACAGCTTAGTCTCAGGTGTGCCTTGTGTCTCCTTAGGGTAACTGGTCCTAAGGCGAAAGACTCATGGCAGATATGAACCATACAGGGTCCCAGGAAGACATGATTAGTGACTGGCAGCCTGGGGTTGAGATTGCAGAGGCCCCTTGCCTTCTGCCTCTGGCTGTGGTATACCTTCCTGTCAGCCTCCAGACAAGGAGGGCCATTGGCAGGAAGCTTACTCTCCTTGGTATTCCCTAGGGTGCAATCCTTTGTTCTGTAATTGTGCCAGGGGTCACGATGAGATGTAGAGCTCCCGTCTAGAAAGGTCTTTTGTTTTTCTTTGTCTCTGGAGTTCCCGGGGATTGGGTTGCTGTGTCATGTTAGCCCCCTCAGATTGTCCCCCGGGCACTCAAGCCTGGTCCTTACCCTAAAGACCAGTGATGTAGCCCATGCCTTGCCTAGCCCCTCCTGTTTTTGGGCCAAAGTGAATGTGTGAGCCTTTTGCATTTCTGTTTGTAATGTAGTTCAGTGTGAATTCTGTGGTGATTTTTTTTTTCCCCCGTTATGTTGCCCTCAGAGATTCCAGAGCTTTTTACTGACCCCCTCTGTGATAGGGTTTCCTATTATGTGGAAACTCCTACATGACTCCCTCGCCAGGTGAGGTCTCTGTCCCTAAATCCCTTGTCTCTCTTTTCATCTATTATCTTTTGTCCTACCTTCTTTTAAAAAGATCACCTTTCGTTTCTGGTACCTGGTGTTCTCCACCAGCATTTAGTTTGTTTTCTGGAAGTTGCTTCAAGTTCATTTGATCTTTTCATGGATCTCTGGGGGAGAAAGTGCTCTCCCTATCCTATTTCTCAACCATGATGAGACCTCCCTCTCTCTTCTGTGTATTCTTGTCATATATTCTTATTCTCTTCTGCTACTGTTAGGTTCTTGCCATTTCTGACCATTATTGTGCCCATCTTCCATGAATTTTTCCTTGTTCTCTAAATTTTCTTGAAGAAGTCTCTAGTCTTTCCTGTCTTTTGGTTCCCTCTAGGTTTTGAATTGTTCATTTAAATTTTTCTTATCTCTGCTATTTTCTGAAGCCGTGCATTCAGATGGATATATATATTCAGTTTCTTGTTTGACTTTCATTTCTTTTCTCAGCTGTTTGTAAGACCTCCTCTGACAACCACTTTACCTTCTTGCATTTCTTTTTCTTGGGAATAATTTTAGTCACCACCTCCTATACTGTGTTACAGACCTCTGTCTGTAATTCTTCAGGCACTCTATCTGATCTAATCCCTTGAATCTGTTTGTCACTTCCACTATATAATCTTAAGGAAATTGGTTTAGGTGATACCTGAATGGCCTAGTGGTTTTCCCTACTTTCTTCAATTTAAGTCTCATTTTGGCAAGAAGTATTCATGATCTGAGCCACAATCAGCTGCAGGTCTTCTTTTTGTTGATTTTATAGAACTTTTTTGTCTTTGACTGCAAAGAATATGATCAGTGTGGTTTCCGTATTGACCATCTGGTAATGTTCACGTCTGGAGTCTTCTCTTGTATTGTTGGAAGAGGTTATTTAGCAGTGTGAAAAGTGTTAGTCACTCAGCTGTGTCTGACTCTTTGCAACTCTGTGGACCATACCCCACCAGGCTTCTCTGGCCTTGGAATTTTCCAGACAAGAATGCTGGAGTTGGTTGCCATGCCCCTCTTCAGGGTATCTTCCTGACCCAGGGATCAAACCCAGGTTTCCCACATTGCAGGCAGATTCTTTACTGTCAGAATTACCCAGACAGCTCATTTAGCAGTGTAATTGCTAATAATTATGGTAGTAGGTGTTACTCAATTTTATAGAGACGAGGAAGTTTTAAGTGCCTAGTTATGTATGAATGGAATTAGGCCTTCAGAACCTGCTTAACTGTGTGTTACATTATTCTTATCTTGGTACACTTTTTAAGAATGTGGTACATACTTTTTGTCTTAAGTCTCTTCAGAATTTGTTTCGTTGATCTATGGTTTACTGAGTAACTTAGAGAGACCCTGTTTGTATTCAGTAAGTGCTAAATAATAAACATTTTTTTTTGACACTTGTATAGTGCAAAATTTTTTTCCTTCATAGCTTATGTACAGCAGTTATTTAGTAAATTCTCACTTTGTAAGACACTTCCTTTATTTAAGGATTTTTTCTTTCCCCCTCCCCAAGGTACAAAAGTTGTCCAAGAATGAAGTGCTCATGGTGAACATAGGATCCCTTTCAACAGGAGGAAGAGTTAGTGCTGTCAAGGCTGATCTGGGTAAAATAGTTCTCACTAATCCTGTGTGCACAGAAGTGGGAGAAAAAATAGCCCTTAGCCGAAGAGTTGAGAAACATTGGCGGTAGGTTTGTCAGTTTTCACTTTTCATTTCAAAACAGTACACATTTTGTTGTAGTATAATTTGTTCTTACTGGTATATGCATGTACAGGTACAAACTTCTTGAATTCAGTGTTTCTCAAGGCTTAACTCAGCAGTGTATGTGAATCACTAAAAGCTGTACTTTCTCCCTGCTGTGTAAAGCTGCATTTCAGTTTTTACCGCCCCTCCCATGTACTGAAACTGACTTTCATTTAGTCTCAAACATAGTTTGTATAAAATCAAACATTTCAGAATCATTCTGTTTTCTTTGACTTTTAATAGATACATCATTCATTTTATTATTATTCATATCATATATCATTATTCATATTAATATATTACTACAGTGCATGTGTCTATACATATTATGTGTGTGTATATTTATACATATTTGTATATATACCTTAGTTTTTTCAAAATAACTGAGTAGGTGGTATAGTTTGGAATTCTTGGTAAGAATAAGAATAGTCTCTTATTCAACTAGTTCAAAGATTTTAACATTGACAGAATATAAAAGCCGCAGTTTTATTATCAGCTTTGTCATCTGTCTCAACTTTGTCCTCTACTGAATTTTCCTTTCTTCAGCCCAGTATCATATACTTCCTTTTCATTTTAATTTCCATTTCATTTTCCTTTAGTTTTTTTCTTTCTTTTAAATTTGCACATTTGGGTTCCTTCTTTCCTTCATTTTTTTTCCTCTCACCTTATGTACTTCATGGCATATGGAACCTCTCCAACCAGGGATCAATCAAACCTGGACCTTCTCCTGAAGTGGAAGCACAGAGTCTTAACCAGTGTACTGCCAGCGAATCCCCTCCTGGAACTTTTTCTTGTCTTAACATGAATTAAAGTTTTAATAGTACAAATCAGTTAATTTATACAATCTTTTCTCAATTTCAGTTTGATACTTTATCATGTTACATTTACATTATTTATCATAGTCCATATTGGTTTATAGTTTGTGTTATCTCCTTATCATAAAGGCACAGAATATCTGGCTATACTTGGTTGGAGGGGTTAATTTTATTCCTACAAGGCATCTGATTTTTCTGTTGTAGGTTTTTTTTTTTTGACTAATAAACAGTCTATTGGGAGAACCCTTGATGGGATGGCAGATAGCCTGCTTCTCATTAAATTGTCTCCCCTTTCCCTCCTGATTATTTTTGCTTGACCTTCTCTCTGGGATTGATCTTCACTATGTGTTGCTTTTGCATATTTATCATTTGCCAGTTCGCTTTTTTAATTTATTTAGATACTACAATGTGCACTCAGAGGTGTGTAGGTTACTCAGTCAATTCTGATCCATTACTTTTCTTTCAGTTTTGAACATACATTTTTAAAATTTATTTTTGTTTGTACTGGGTTTTTGTTGTGCAGGAGGTTCCTTTAGTTGTGGTGAGCAGGGGATACTTTTTGTTTTGGTGCTTGGGCTTAGTAGTTCCAGCATCTGGGCTAAGTAGTTGTGTCTTGAGGGCTCTAGACCACTAGCTTAAGTGGTTATAGTGCATGGGCTTAGTTCCTCTGCAGCATGTGCGAATTCCTGAATGGGGATGAATGTGTCTCTCCTGCACTGCCAGGTAGACTCAACTACTGGACCACTAGGGAAATGCTAGTGTTTTTCATTTTGATGATCATGACTCACTTTGACTGTTGTGATTCTCTTCATCTTTGTTGCCATGTCCTTTTTTTTTTTGTAAATTAATTAATTGGAGGCTAATTACTTTATAGTATTGTAGTGGTTTTTCTCATACACTGACATGAATCAGCTGTGGTGTACATGTGCTCTCCATCCTGAATGCCCCTCTCATTTCCCTCCCCATCCCATCCTTCTGGGTCACCCCAGTGCATCTGGACTGAGCGCCCTGTCTCATGCATTAAACCTGGACTGGCAATCTATTTCACATATGGTAGTATACATGCTTAAATGCTGTTCTCTCAAATCATACCACCATTGCCTTCTCAGAATTCAAAAGTCTGTTCTTTATATCTGTGTGTCTTTTTCTGTCTCACATATAGGGTCATTGTTAACGATCTTTCTAAATTCCATATATATGCATTAGTATACTGTATTGGTTTTTTTCTCTCTGACTTACTTCACTCTGTCTAATAGGCTCCAGTTTCATCCACCTCATCAAAACTGATTCAAATGCATCAAATATTACTCAACCATTGTGTATATTCCACTGTGTATATGTACCACAGCTTTCTTATCCATTTGTCTGCCAGTGGGCATCTAGGTTGCTTCCATGACTGGCTATTATAAACAGTGCTGTGATGAACATTGGCGTACAGGTGTCTCTTTCAATTCTGGTTTCCTCAGTGTGTATGCCCAGCAATGGGATTGCTGGGTCATATGCCACTTCTGTATCCAGCTTTTCGAGGAATCTCAACACTGTTCTCCATTATGGCTGTACTAGTTTGCATTCCCACCAACCGTCTAGGAGGGTTCCCTTTTCTCTGACCCTCTTCTGCATTTATCATTTGTAGACTTATTGATAGCAGCCATTCTGACTGGCATGAGATGGTACCACATTGTGGTTTTGATTTGCATTTCTCTGATAATAACTGGTGTTGAACATCTTTTCATGTGTTTATTAGCCATCTGTGTATCTTCTTTGGAGAAATGTCTGTTTAGTTCTTTGGCCCATTTTCTCATTGGGTTATTTTCCTGGTATTGAGCTGTCTGAGATGCTTTTATATTTTTGAGGTTAATTCTTTGTTAGTTGCTTCATTTGCTATTATTTTCTCCCATTGTGAAGGCTGTCTTTTCACCTTGCTTATAGTTTCCTTTGTTGTACAAAAGGAACACACACTTAACTAAACTTAAGTTTAGTTAGGTCCCATTTGTTTATTTTTGCTTTACCCAGGGAGGTGAATCATAGAGGATCTTGCTGTGATTTATGTCAGAGAGTGTTTTGCCTGTGTTTTCCTCTAGGAGATATGTAGTTTCTGGTCTTACATTTAGATCTTTAATCCATTTTGAGTTTATTTTTGTGTGTGGTGTTAGAAAGTGTTCTAGTTTCATTCTTTTATAAGTGGTTGACCAGTTTTCCCAGAACCACTTGTTAAAGAGATTGTCTTTTCTCCATTGTGTAGTCTTGCCTCCTTTGTCAAAGTTAAGGTGTCCTTAGGTGTGTGGATTTATCTCTGGGCTTTATGTTTTCTTCTATATTTCTGTCTTTGTGCCAGTACCATACTGTCTTGATGACTGTGGCTTTGTCGTAGAGACTGAAGTCAGACAGGTTGATTCCTCCAGTTCCACTCTTCTTTCTCAAGATTGCTTTGGCTGTTCGAGGTTTTTGTATTTCCATACAAATTGTGAGATTATTTGTTTTAGTTCTGTGAAAAATACCGTTGGTAGCTTGATAGGGATTGCATTGAATCTATAGATTGCTTTGGGTAGTATGTTCATTTTCACTCAATTGATTCTTCCAATCCATGAACATGGTCTATTTCTCCATCCTTTGTGTCCTCTTTGATTTCTTCCATCAGTGTTTTATAGTTTTCTATACATAGGTCTTTTGTCCTTTAGGTAGATATATTCCTAAATATTTTATTTTTTTCTTTGCAATGGTGAATGGAATTGTTTCCTTAATTTCTGTTTCTGCTTTCTCATCGTTAGTGTATAGGAATGCAAGGGATTTCTCTGTGTTAATTTTATATCCTGCAACTTTACTATATTCATTGATTAGCTCTAGTAATTTTATTGTGGTGTCTTTAGGGTTTTCTATGTAGAGGATCATGTCATCTGCAAACAGAGTTTTACTTCTTTTTTTCCAATCTGAATTCCTTCTATTTTTTTTTTTTTTTTCTGATGGCTGTGGCTAAAACTTCTAAAACTATGTTGAATAGTAGTCATGAGAGTGGGCACGATTTTCTTGTTCCTGACTTTAGGGGAAATGCTTTCAGTTTTTCACCATTGGCAATAATACTTGCTTTGGGTTTATTATATATGGCTTTTATTTTGTTGAGGTATGTTCTTTCTGTGCCTGCTTTCAGGAAGGTTTTTATCATAAATGGATGTTGAATTTTGTCAAAGGATTTCTCTATCTATTGAGATAATCATAGGATTTTTATCTTTCCATTTGTTAATGTGGTATATCACATTGATTGATTTGTGAATATTGAAGAATGCTTGCATCCCTTGGATAAAACCCACTTGGTCATGTTGTATGTTCTTTTTAATATGTTGGATTCTGTTCACTAGAATTTTGTTGAGCATTTTTCATCTATGTTCTTCCGTGATACTGGCCTGTAGTTTTCTTGTTTTGTGGCATGTTTGTCTGGTTTTGGTATTAGGATGATGGTGGCTTCATAGAACAAGTTTGGCAGTTTACCTTCCTCTGCAATTTTCTGGAAGAGATTGAGTAGGATAGGTGTTCAGTTCAGTTGCTCAGTTGTGTCCAACTTTTTGCGACCCCGTGAATCACAGCATGCCAGGCCTCCCTGTCTATCATCAACTCCTGGAGTTTACTCAAACTCCTGTCCATTGAGTCAGTGATGCCATCCAGCCATCTCATTCTCTGTCATCCCCTTCTCCTCCTGCCCCCAATCCCTCCCAGCATCAGGGTCTTTTCAGTGAGTCAGCTCTTTGCATGAGGTGGCCAAAGTATTGGAGGTTTAGTCTCAGCATCAGTCCTTCTAATGAACACCCAGGACTGATCTCCTTTCAGATGGACTGGTTGGATCCCCTTGCAGTCCAAGGGAATCTCAATAGTCTTTTCCAACACCAGAGTTCAAAAGCATCAATTCTTCGGCACTCAGCTTTCTTCACAGTCCCAACTCTCATATCCATATACCAGGCTAGATAGCATATTAAAAAGCAGAGACATTATTTTGCCAACAAAGGATAGGTATTAGCTCTTCTCTAAATTTTTGGTAGAATTTACCTGTGAAGGCATTTGGCCCTGAGCTTTTTTTTGTTGGAAGATTATTTTTTAGTTTCAATTTCTGTACTTGTGATGGGTCCGTTTAGATTTTCT